TGTTCCCAAATGAGAGCTCAGTGTGTCCTCAGATTTCCCCCATTCTGTCTGCAAGAATAAGAGTGTGAGTTTGCAGTGTCTTTAGCAACATTTTTTTTCTTCTTTTCGGTGATTGACCTCTGTGCTAGGAAGCCATTAAATAATGGCTACAGATATGCCAGCAAAACACACACACTCATCCCTTCTGGGAGCCGCTCATAAACAGCCTCTCCCAGCAAGCAGGCACGTAGACACACACACATCTCTCAAACAACAAGAGGACCGGTTTTGCTTTTTTTCTTTCTTTCTAATAGTCGGCATGCAAGCGGAGCCGGCCAAAGGCAGCAAATGTTTCTACCTTGAACACTCCTCGCCCTTTCCCATATTATTCCGGCATTGCCAAACCCCTCTCCATAAGCCACAACAACAACAACAAGAATACAGGGCATTTGCAAAACAATATATGCTCAGAAGCAGCAAGGCAGAAGTCCATCTGGGAGAGAGAGAGGGGGAAGGGGGCAGGTTCCTGATTTAATAGCTCAGATCACACCACTTCTGCCATTTGTTTAATAATAATGTGGGGGGGGGAGGGGGAGCCAGGAAATGAGCCAGTATAATTCAGGCTTGTCAGATGCTCTATTGGCATATCTTACCCTAAGGGGGCAGCCCCTGTTTCACATCATTGGTTCTCCCTAGCATTCCTTTGTTTTGAATTTTGGACCCAGCAGCCTTATGGATGCTACACTGGGGATGGGGGACGGGCAGAGAGAGGAATTAAGCACCAGGGAAGCTGCCAAATTCAAGCACACTGCCAGTAATCGTTTTTCCTCCCAATGCCCCTTTCCCAAAGATCCTTTGCTTTTCTGTCCTCATGTTGTTCGAACCGAGCCTGTTTGCATGTGGCAGAGCTCAACACACAATCACTGCCTATCTCCCTTCCCTGTCAGCAGCAGGGCAGTCTCCTCAACACACCCCCATCTTTACTGGCCTTGCATGAGATGAGCAGCACCCAGAAGCAGCCAATACAGTCAAAACAGTGAAAATATCAGCCAACATAACGCAGCTCTATCTCACCCCCAGTTTCCCTCTGGTCACCTTCATTTGCCTCCCCCCTTTAAAAACTGGTGAAAAGGAGAGAGATCTGTCTCTGCATATTACAGGTTTGATCTGCCTTTCGTAAGACTCCAGGAAAAAGTCACCGGATGAGCGGATGCAAAAACTGCATTGAAGAAACTGTGAGGGCTATGCAGCAAAAGGCGCCCATGTAAACAAGCCTATAGTCAGTGAAGGCTGAGGACACGCACACACACAAAAGCAGAAACACAAAAAAACAGAACCCCCCAGAAAGATGGATCTGCATGTTTTTGACCTCCAAAAGACATGCAAACTATACACATCTTTTAATAGGGCCCGCATTGCAGAAGGTGGAGGGGGAAACGGTACCCAAAGATTCCATCCTATTGTAATAGCCGGGGCTGTCAGAAGCTATTTCTGTAAAGCTCCATTGATTTCACTGCAGTCTTTGCAAGAATTTGTAGGATGTCCCCTTCGCAACACAGAGCCAAGCTACTTTAAATGGTACCATCTGTAAACACGCACCATCTTCCCCACTTCGTGTGAATGGGGGGGTGTTATGCAAGACAGTGGTGTTTCGCTTAAGAAATGACTTCCTGGGGGGGGATCACTCCTCTCCCTCCCTTAAGGGGGGGAAAAAGACACTTGGAATTTTCCACTCCCACCTTCGTCCCTCGACCATCACCCCACATACATATCCCATCAACATAGTTTCCAAGAGACATCTACTTCTCATTCCTTTCCACATCCATCTGTGACGGGGGATGGCGGTGAGAGCTTTGGGAATTAGGGAGGGGTGCCTTTTTGAAGAACCGTTAAATAAAACCCCACGCATAAGCTCTGTGACACACACACACCCCAGCCCCCATGCAACTGGATCTAATGTATGGGCATGGAGCCTTTCAACAGGAATACATGCCACCGCTATTTTGCAGATGGCACGGGGATGGCAATGTTTACATCCCCCCAGCTTGCTAAAAACAGCCTCCCCGCCTGCTTTGCGCCTTACCCATCACTAACCCAAACACAAGGCGAAAGATGCTGCTCCAGCGCCGCCGCTCCTGCCTCCTTCCCTCGGTGAGCAGTTTACTTCATGAACCTGCCTCTGCCTCCCTTTCCCTCCCCCTCCCTCTCCCCTCCCCCCCATACACTTCTCCCCCTCCCCTTTATTATTTTTAAACAGCGAATCAATATTCATCACCCCACCTCCTCACAAAGACAGGTCGGCGTGTTGTTTGTTTTGTGTGTGTGTGTGTGTGTGTGTGTGTGTGTGTGTGTGTTTTAAGCCCACCCCAACGCGCGGACCTCCCCCCCCCCCCCCAGCTTCACACAGCATCCCCAGAAGCCCGGCGCCCATCACTTACCGTTCCGTGCTGCGGACTAGCCTCTTGAACGCAGCAACCTCTTCCCCCTAGCGCCGCGCGACCTTAGGTGGTCATTGGAAACCACATTCCCAAAGCGCAGGAGAAGATCGGTGGGTAGGTAGGTGGTGGTGGTGGGGTAGCCAAACGAGGAAGGAGGGTGGGTGGTGATGGTGGTGGTCGGAGGGAGGGAGATCTGGAGAGGTTGATGGGCAGGTGGCAGCCAGGAGACCTGGACCAAGGTGGGAGTTGCGTGGGAGAGGGTGGGGGGCGCACGAAACAATCGGAATGCCCGGGATCAAAGCGGCGGAGGCGCACAAAGCGAGGAGAAGCCGGGAGGGACGCGCGGGGAGGAAAGGAGGAGGAAGAAACGAGAGGGACGGCGCCTTGCTGAATCACCCTCTTTTACTGTCTGGAGACCATTGTGCATCGTGATGCTGGCTGTACCATTGTGGAACCTACCAGAGGAGACAGGCGGAGGGCTTGGGGAATGGGGCTGCCATGGCAACGGGAAAGGAGCGCTCGTGACGTCAAAGCGCAGTGAGGTCTCGGGAGGAGGGGTGGGGGGCGAGGGGTGGGGAGGAGAGAGAGGGAGTCTAATCTGCAGCTCTAGCTATTGTATCTCCTGGTGAAATCAGGAGGGAGGGAGAGAGAAAAGCAGGCACAGCAGCCTGGAAAAAAGCAAAGCTGAATAAGCTTCTGTGATGGTTTATCAGCAGCAGCAGCAGCATCTGTAATGTCAAGCTGAGTGTGCGCGGAAGGGAAGCAGGAAAGGGGGTGAGTGCAGCAATGACCTCTCTCGCCTGGCATTGGCGCTCGAGCATCAGGCAGACCCGAGAAACCTGCTCAAGCCTCGCACTGAATCTAAAAGGGATGGAGGCGTCCAGGTTGACTTACCATCTCCAGGGACCCTCGGGTTCCCAACAAGCCTCTTTTCTCGCCACTGTGTTTTCCAGGCCTTGTCCACTTTCAGGTTTCGGCTCAACAGATTTAAGAGGCAGGTAAAGCACATCAGACTTGCACCAAATGCATCCTGGATATCTGGAGGGAAAGCATTTCAGAGCAACATCTCTGTAAGACAAAAGCAGCACCTGTCTCCTTTTATGACTTGCATCCTGGTTGTTTTCATCCCCACTCTCTAAGATGGGCCTCAGCAAGGTGCAAAAAAATGCAGCCCATACGTGTTTTGTTTTGTTTTTAAAGAGCAAGCACAAGTGCAGTTCTGTCCCCTGAATTTCACAGCCTGTGGATGCAGGATAAGCAGGAAGCACCTGCTGAAATTCCTTTTCCTATATTGCTATTAAAAGTTTGAATAGGGCTTGCAAATGTTTTAAAACAAATTATGAGTTATTGTATTAACTACCATGGCCCCCAAAGCAAATGGCTCATACTTCAATCTGGACACTGTATTGCTGAGATGGCTACCGTGTTCTTTGTTTTCAGGAGCAGTCAATGGTTGCCCCATCAAGAGCAGCTGGTGAAAGCAGAACTGAATAATGTTGCAATGCATCAGCTGTTCCCAAGAGCTCCTCTAGTTTAGGGTTCCAGGCAGCCAATGATACAACTAGGATACTCCATTCCATCTCATCCTGGTTTCCCTTTTTTTTTTTTCCCCAACTGAACCGCAACTTTCTGTGGCTCATCTTCAGTCATCATTGGGCTTTTGTTAAAAGTATGTCTTATTTATTTATTTATTTATTTATTTTAAAAAATAAAGATATTTTGCAAACTGTGAGAGACCTTCAAATGAGCTAATGCCTACTTATTGCTTCTCAGTGAGCTAAATTTGGCTCCAATCCGGTCGGCACTCACACCTGAATTCGCTGTTAGTGGGAGTGATGATCAGTTGATATAAACCTTGTGGGATGTGAAACACAAGAGCAGTCAAGTACAACATTCCTAGAGTGAACATGTTTACGCATGGGGAGGAATGTTTGTCCAGCCAGCAGGTAAACTTCCTGTTTCCTTCTGGGCTGGGACAGACTTCTTCTGCATGTGACTAGAGGTAGGCGTGGCCTCACCTGTGCAGGTAACAACAAAAGCACAGGGCAGGGCAGCCATCTCTCTCTCTCTGTGACTACTTTCGTCAAAGAAGCAACATCTGCTTAGCCAAAGATGCTCTCTTGGCTTCCAGCTTCCAGCCAAGAGAGGACAAAGGAACTGTCTCCTTATGAGATAGTTTCCAGGTGTATGTTACTTTTCTAAGATAAGTCTGCCTTCTGGGATCCGATTTGGAACAGAATGTGAGTGAGTAAACTCTTTTTATACTTTTATAGAAGACTGTGTTGTGTCTTATCTTTTATGAGGGAATAAGGGGAAAATACTAGAACAGTTATTATAGAGGCTTTAGCGAGCCTGAGCAAACACATCCACTGTGAGTTTAAAAAGGGGAATGTTACTCTGCTAAATTGTAGAACTTGTTTACACAAGTTGGAAAGGCTATAATCAAACAATATATCCTCTCCTGCATCCCTGAACATTCCCACAAACCTGGTAGAGAATGGAGCAGGGCTACCATGGAAGCAAAAGGGCACGTGATGTTTAGCTGTAGTGCAGGGGGTTTGCTTTGTATGCGAAGGATTCCTTGGAGGCTAGGTGGCTCAGCAGTTGAGCATCTGCTTTGGATCGAGAAGGCCACAGGTTCAATCCCTGTTATCTCCAGGTAGGACTGTGAGGAAACCCTGTCTGAAACTGTGGAGCGCCATTACCAGTCAGTGAAGGCAATGCTACACTATGTAATTATGTGTTTTGTGTTTTTATATTGTGGGTTTATCTTGTGAACCGCCCTGAGACGGGCATAGGGTGGTATACAAATTTAATAAAGAATAATAACAATACTGACCTAGATGCAGAGGTTTATCTAGAGGTTGGGAAACTAGCCTCTGTCCAGCGGTGCAAAAAATCACCCCAGAAATCTGTCTCCAGTTATCTATGTAAATTCCCGAGTTTAGACACGAGCTGGGAGCTGAATGCTAAAAGAAATAGCAAGGCAGAATGCTGGAGGCTGTGGAATGCAAGACGTATATTCTGTGGTGATGCACCACTGCTGCCAAGATGAGATCAAACGTGGGAGAAATGTTGTTTTTCCCCCAGGGAGGTGCTGATACAGTTCCTTGCCAAAGGCACAAGGGACCCTAGGTACGCCTCTGGCTAGACGGAGCAATGGTCTGACTCAACATGAGGCAGCGCACTACGTTCCTACATAGCTGGGTTTGCCAAACTCGGGTCTCCAGCTGTTTTTGGACTGCCATCATCCCTGACCACTGGTCCTGCTAGCTAGGGATGATGGGAGTTGTAGTCCAAAAACAACTGGAGACCCGATTTTGGGAAACCCAGCTATGTAGCAACTGCCACTAGAATGGCTCTTCCATGTACGTAATGAAAACAAAAGGTTTGTCTCTCCCTCCCCCCCCCCAAAAAAAAACCACACACACACACACTTTGTTCACATGAGAAGAGTGGAGGAAAGAAGACATTTTAGCCCCGCTCTGGGCATATCTAAACTTTTATATAAGCTTTTTACCAATTTAGCTACCATGGTGTCCTCCAACGAATCCTGAGAAATGTAGTTTGATCTGCAAAGCTCTCTGTTAGAGATCTCCAGTACCACCATCCCTACAATGATTGCACAGGCAAAAACCATTAAGGCTGCAATCCTATATGCCAGGCGGTGGGCAGTCTGTGGCCCCCAGATGGATTTTATGTTGCTTTTGGCCTGATTTCAAAAGATATCATATACTGAGCCTTGGGGCGTGGGACTGCAGACTTTGCCATGAGTGCTCAGTCTTTGCGTATTGACCTGAAACTCCTTGGAAATGGAAAGAGAAAACCTTTGCAAAGCTTCTCAGAATGAATGCTGTTTTCAAGCCGCAATTAAGGGCTAACCTTTCCTTCCCCCTTTTCGCTCCCATCAATCTCTAGCAACTGCAAGGAAAACAGTACTAAGCGAGTTGATAAGTTGCCCGGGAAATGGCAGAAGACAAGTCGGCCGCTGGTTTCAAACGCAGATGAAATAGTGCCCTGAAATATATATATCTAAATCTATTCCGTCTTCCTGTCCGCTTTCAATTTTCAAAATGTTTGAAATTGATGGGACAAGATACGGAGTTACAATCACCGGCTATCTGGCCTATGTAAATACAGAGGGGCGAGAGGGAGCTGCCAGCTCAATGGAAAGTTATAGGACTTGTATAGAACTGTTTTTCTCCCTACTTTCCATGCTTGCAGCTAGAACAAGATGTATGGGCAGCTTGGGGGCAAGGCTTGGTTGTCAGCGATGGTGAGTGATGTAGTTCAAATCTACATTCACTGGTGCCTGGCAGGAGACTTACCTCCTGCCATGTGACAACGTTTCTTAAAAAGCCCTTACACTGCACTCTGGATATCACAAGCCTGAATTAACCACCTAGCCAGTTGCCTGTGGCGAGTAAGAATTACCTCCAGGAGGGAAAATCCTTTGTAGGCTACAAAAGAGTCCTTCTTTCTTTCCTTCCTTCCTAAATTTGTAAGCAGCACTTAAAAATTACAGCAACACTAAGAATACCAGAGTGGGGGAATCCGCAAGTACTGTCTGATTAAAAGAAGATTCACATTTCCAAGTCCTGTCTAAATAACACCATTTTTAGGTAAAGGTAAAGGGACCCCTGACCATTAGGTCCAGTCGTGACTGACTCTGGGGTTGTGGCACTCATCTCGATTTATTGGCCGAGGGAGCTGGCGTACAGCTTCCGGGTCATGTGGCCAGCATGACTAAGCCGCTTCTGGCGAACCAGAGCAGCGCACGGAATCGCCGTTTACCTTCCCACCGGAGCGGTACCTATTTATCTACTTGCACTTTGACATGCTTTTGAACTGCTAGGGTGGCAGGAGCAGGGACCGAGCAACGGGAGCTCACCCCGTTGTGGGGATTCGAACTACCGATTTTCCTATCGGCAAGTCCTAGGCTCTGTGGTTTAACCCACAGCACCACCCACGTCCCTCTCAACACCATTTTTAGGTGACATCAAAAAAAAGGCAGGTATGGGTCCTGCGAAGCCTCTACTGGCAGAGAGTTCCACAGGTCAGGGGCTTCCACACAAAAGGCTTGGTGCCTAGTAATGGCTGGCTGAACCTCAGGGCCATGGGGAAGCTCAAGAAAAGCACCTTCAGAGGATCTCGGTGACCAAGGTGGAGCCTAAGGGGTCAAATGGTCCATACCAAGGATGGAGACTGTGTGGCACGCTAGATGCTGTTGGACTACAATTCCCAGCATCACTGAGCATTGGCCACATGGTCTGGGGCAGGGGCAAATGGGAGTTGGAGTCCAATTGATTTGATTTATTGCATTTCTGTACAGTGGTACCTCAGGTTAAGAACTTAATTCGTTCTGGAGGTTCGTTCTTAACCTGAAACTGTTCTTAACCTGAGGTACCACTTTAGCTAATGGGGCCTCCTGCTGATGCTGCGCAATTTCTGTTCTCATCCTGAAGCAAAATTCTTAACCCGAGGTACTATTTCTGGGTTAGCGGAGTCTGTAACCTAAAGTGTCTGTAACCTGAGGTACCACTGTACTGTTTTTCATTCAAATGAATCCCAAAGCAGCTTACACACAATAAATAGATGTATAGAACACTGTTTAAAAAGCAACAGCTAATAAATAAGCTAAACATCACAGTTAAAGCAAAAGTCATATTATATGATTAACAAATCAATGCAGCATTTATAATCTGTAAGGCAATGTTAAGAAAATAGCAACCCAAAAATAAACTGAGTACTTTTAAATTCATACAGACCTCCATGACTTGTAATCTTTTACTCTATTCAGCTCATTAAAATACATATTTACATGATATCTGTGGTAGCAACCCTCTCCTGAACCTTCTTTGGGCTGCAGGTGGGGCACCACAGGTGAAACCAACCACCCGCTGATGAGAAACCCACAGCTTCTCCTCTGGAAACTGCTCCCTTATGAAGACTTGATGTTACGATGCTGGCACAATCCTCTGCCAACTTCCCAAACACAGAAGTATTGATACCACTGGCCTTGGAACATGAGTTTTCTGACTCTTGAAGACTTCCCATTTCCCTCTTTACTTAATAGATAGGAAGCAGCAACTGTTCCCTGAACAGACTTGCTGGCAAAGTCACAGCCCAGCTGCAAATGCTCAAAATCAACTTTGTGGGGGTTGCTTTGGAGAGAGTTTTCAACTGCCCTGGCATGCCAGAATGGATTGACATTGATGTGGACATAGGTCAGCAAAAATGGATACGGTCAGGAAAAAAATCTTTGAAGTTATTTGCAGGAATGTATTATAAATAGTACCAGCTGTAATACTGAAAGTGACATACGATAGACTTATCCTTTCAGAATTTGCCTAATCCTGTTTTAGTTGGTGGCCATCATTGGAAACAAAAGGTTCTATCTGCAAAATAAGCATCTTGCTGAAGATTCTCTATTTGTTTTGATTGCCCCAAGATTCTTATTTTGAACACTCATGAATGAACAGGGGGAAGTACGGTAGTTAGCCTAGTTGCCCTACCATTTGCCAGTGGGGTTAACTGCCGGCGCAGTTATCCAGCAGAATGGATTGTACAGTGGTACCTCAGGTTAAGAACTTAATTTGTTCTGGAGGTCTGTTCTTAACCTGAAACTGTTCTTAACCTGAGGTACCACTTTAGCTAATGGGGCCTCCCTCTGCCGCCACGCCACCACCACATGATTTCTGTTCTCATCCTGAAGCAAAGTTCTTAGCCCGAGGTACTATTTCTGGGTTAGCGGAGTCTGTAACCTGAAGCGTCTGTAACCTGAAGCGTCTGTAACCCGAGGTACCACTGTATTTGCTAGCCCACAAAAATAGCTGGGAGACAACGGAACCTAAGTTCTTTCGGAGGTAGCAAAGGGTCCCAAAAGTAATTACAGTATTTGTCTTCCAAACAACTGAGCTAACAGAAAATTGCATCGTCCTGCTAGCTGCCTTTTGTGATAAAGGAATTGTGCTTCCCACAGACCAGCTCAGCCTTATCAACTCTGCAATACATGCATATCTAACAGTTGGTTACACTTTGCTTCTTGCAGTGCCATACTGAGATGAACCAGCCGGCAGAAAGATGCCTTGAAAGGCTGACTTATTTATTGTGTGAATAAATAAACATGGCTGCCCCATCACATCTAGCCTGACCATTAAACAAAAGGCAAAACCTCATCATACAGAGGATTGTATGACAACATCGCGTTTTCTTTATAAGCTCATAAACTACATGCCTTAAGATTTACAAGATGGCTAATCAGAAATTATAAGCCATACCTTTTTATTTTTATTCGAAGGGGCGGCAGCATTGGTGGCCAGAGCCAATAGCTTTCCCAAACATATTAACAGAAGCGGAGGAATTAATCTGAGGCATACCGTGCAAACTAAAGAAATAAAGAAATGGAAATATGGATAGTAGATGGAAGGCTGGGACGTCTGGTGCTGAAGTACTCATTCATTTCCATTTTCAGTTCAGAGTTTGTTCATACATGTAATTAAAGGGTAATGGAGTAGACAGGAAATTTATCTAGTCAGATAACCACATGAAATAAAAAAGAGAGGGAGTCAGAAACGAAGCCTGCACTCCCCCCCCCATATAATCCACTAACAGGATACAATCCTAAGCAAGCAGCATCAAGCAAATTTTTGAATGAA